CAGCCGCACCATCATACAACACTAGATAATCCATCTTACATAATACTGCTGCTTCTTGATATCTAGAACTGTCACAGGTATCTAGTATCTGCCACTGCACAACCCAGGCCTCTACCTAAAAACATTAGTTCCACGCTGTGCGCTTCAGCTCAGCTCCTCCCATGTGACTGACTGTCTTCTGTGCTACTCTGAACACACCCCATAAATACTTTAGCTGCAAAGATAACAGGAGTGTAACAAACAGTGGGAAAGGCACCTACTGTGTGGTTGCAAGGAAACAACGTGCTTTAGGGAGTCGTTCCCCTCTTAAAGGTCTGTGGACAGCTAGAGAGTGCTCGAGGAGGTAATAGGGACATATTCCAAAGATCAGGGCGGGATTAGGACTAATACCTGTCGGCTTTATCTGAAGTCACGTGGGTTAACACCTGGCTGCAGTGTTGGTGGCGGAGCCCGAGCTCTGCCGTGTGTGTGTGTGTGTGTGTGTGTCTGCATTAATCCATCACACACCTCAAAGTCAGGGGTTAGTCCAGCAGGTAGGGCCCACCAAGAAAGAGCAGCTGCTTCTTCTAAAACCTGCTTTCAGTAAGAATAATGAGGAGGAAAACTGACGAGCTCGGTGAGTTAGAGCTGTTGTGCTGGCACTGGGGTGGGTCAAACGGCTGTAAAATAAAGTGGATGTTCTGAGCCAGGATTGGCTGTTCTAAATCCATCCTTGGTTCTAATCCAACTGAAAAAGGCTTAGGCGAGACTGTGTTGTAATTTTGCTGGGCAGCCACTTTATTTGGCTCTAGCTCTGTCACTCAGTAACCACGGTGTAATTAAAACAAGCCCGTTTCTTGTTAGTGAGAAAGTTGCCATTCATTACTGAGAAGAAAAAACAGGAGGGAATTCTGGAAAACTGTCATCATTTTTACAGATTCTGCAGATTCTAAACATGATTCCATCCTCTTAATCTACTGAATATAGGCACAGTAAGTGGTTTAAAAAGCTTCTGTTTTATTTTGGAAGGCCTCTATCACAGCCCAGAATAAGATACAGATTAATCCAGGGACCCAACGGCCGAGAACAAAATCTCACAAGTTAAACTTGTTGCTCTTAGGGTGGCGCTAAGGAGGTGAGAGGGGAAGATACATTTATAGATGCACATTTGACACCTGTCCCAAATCGTCTGCCCTTTACTATTATAAAAAGAGCTGAGTCAAGGTATAGTTCTGACATTTAAACAGCCTTTCTAACAGACAAAGAGGGGTTACATGAGAACTGGCAGGGAGATGCCACCTTGCTTCATCTTTTTTTTTGTGCGAGTAAGATTGATGTAGTCTCTAGCAGATTCTAAAGAAGAGACTATGAGCTGCTAATCTGTCTGTGGCAGATCCTCTTTTAACACAACAGCATTGCCTCTAAACCCACGTTAAACATGTCGATGTTGCCGTTATAAAAGGTTGATGACCATCTGGACACGATGAATACAGCTTTCAAATACGCAAGCAAGCACAAACATCTGAAATATGATGACATTTTGGATCTTTAAGCCTATGCTTTCTTCAAATTAAAAGAAATTCTTATTTGTTGCACACAAAATGGGCATTTTATCAAAAATCTGGTAAAACAAAACTACAACCAAAAACATGCTCATGACACGATGAGGAGTGCCACATCAGCTCAGCGTCCTCGTCAGTTTGCTCCAGTTATGACCAGCTTTGGCAGGTTTTGAAAGTTGAATGATCACTGTACTTTACGCTTAAACTTGATCCGGCCTCTCGGGGCTCCACTAGATAGCATCCAGTCTAATCTCTAGAAGGGGATCATCATTTCAGTGAGTACCATCATGTTCACGTCTCAGAATATTTTCAGATAAAAAGTTCAGTTATCTGATTCTGATCTTCCTAATTATTTATACTATTAAAGGCGCAGCTCTGCAAAAAAAAAAAAAATCTGTTGAAATAAATAATACAATGCTGTCAGATTTCTAAGTAGTGCTCCAACCTTTGGGAAGTGAAAGTCAGAGAGCATCTGGAGAGCAATTATCCATGATAATGAGGTAAACCACCATGTTGGATAAGTGACAGAAGAGGAAAATGTTCCTCTCTGACAAAACAAATTTGTCTCTGTGGTGAAAGGCTGTTCACACTCTGCAAGAAAATCATAAAAAATGATTTATTTTTCTTATTGCTTTTCCAACATAGTGGCATGCCTCTTGTAAACAACGGTAACCGTTCTGCAAACATTTCGTGACAGGCTGCTGTGCACTACCGACATGAGATTTGTGCCAGAAGCCGCTTGTTGATATAAAGAACCCAACGTGTGTTTTCTGCCACTCAAGCACTTGATGAGGCATCCCTGTCAGCGGCACCCAACGCCTTCCCCATAAGCTGCCGGCTAAAACTAACAAAAGAAGATGTGGTGTTCTTGCCGTTCGGCCGGCTAATCCAGACTTAGCTGCGTGGTGTCGTCTTCAGCTGACCTCCGCAGGCAAGTGCTGGCTGGGTAAGTCCATCATCATCATCACAGGCAAGGAGCGAGGGCAGGATTCCTGCTTATTTCCCTGAAAAGCATCACAGCTCTCTGTGCCTGCGAGTAGGGGAGGTGTCCTGACTTGATTCAGGTCCAGGATTTGTTACTCTTTTATGACATTTGCACTTCCATAGAACTGCTTTAGGTTGTAAAGATCAAGATCAACATTCCTCTGAATATAAGTGTGTGCTTCATGGCACTCAGGCTGATCCATTCAAAATGAGCAGAGCTGGGTGTTTAGAGAAGAACTGTATCTGACATATGTCTCGCTTCAGAAAACTCCTCTCAGCGCATTTCTCCACACGCAACGCTTCTGATCCTTTTTTTTTTTTTTGGCATAAACCTGAACCTGCAACAGAAGAACAGAGCAGAACCGAGGTAGAGTGCATGAAACGAACAGCCCTTAAAGATGCTTTAACTTTTATTCCTTCTGTCATAAAACTTGTTCTCCTTCAGAGCATTTTATCTTCATACACTGTTGGAAAGGTAATGCACATCTGCTTACCCTCTTTCCAGGAGCAGGTCTCGTCTTCAGCTCCAGGGAGGGGAAGTCTGCGGCTCCTGAAGATGGGTTACGATGAGGAGGGAGAGTGTGGTTACCGTAAGTGGGGCAAAGAGCTTCTCTGATGCCTCTGACTGCCTCCCCCCTCAACTGTTGCTCCTCCTCCATACAGTTGTGCTTGTGGGTCGAGTCGGATTACTCCTGACATGATAATCTTCCTGGCTGTAGCTCCAACAGCACTAAAGGATGCTTTGGCCTGAGCAAGGGCTTAGATTTACCTTCTGCCACAAGACAGTCTGCCATCTTAAGCGAGCAGTTAGTAATAGCCTCAAATGGACAGATCAATGCAGTCTGAGGGGTCTGCTAAAGCCAGCGTCTTCCAATCTTTTAGGAGGAATTAAGGAAGTTCACAATCGGTTTAAAGGGTGCTAAGCCAACATCAACCTCAGTTAAACAGAATTACCACAGCAGAGGTATTTCATGATGATTCAATCTACAATTGGCCAGAGATAAAACCGAGGATGTTGTTGCTGAGGATCTCACATTCATGTCTCCTCCAATACAAACCAGTATTTTAGCCCTTGAGCCTTGAACAACAAATGAGGAGCAGATGGTTGTGCTTTTGGAAGGTATCAGGCGCTCCAGACTACAATCTAAATAAATACCACATCCATGGAGGAAATGCGTCAGGTGTGTGGGGTCAGTCATATGTAAACAATGGCCAACAAGTTTGGAAATGGCTGAAGCGATGCGTGAGAGGGAGAGATGAGGAAGATATACAAAGCTGTATAGGTGCTGCTTGGGAGCATCAACCAGCCAAAGAAATCTACAGATGCACTGCTGATCCAACCAAAACGTGTTGCAGGGTTTTCCAGGCTTTAATGATTGTTTGTTTTTGTCTTGAGTTGCTGGGTCTGTAAACCTTGTCTTTTGAACAAAACGATGCCGTTTTATTCAGACATTTTCACCGTATCACTTTTAACACGGACTAAATTGACTTTTTTGGCATTTGAAAAGCCTCTTGGTTGCTTTGTCAGTGTGTGGGCACTTTTTTCATATGTAGGACACTGTTGATCCAGACACAATTGTACAGAATTGTCTCTGGAGCCACAGATGTTGAAAGAAAGCAGCGGGGTCTTTGTGGTACAGTAATAAAGTCAGTGTCACAACAGGAAATGAATTATTTGCCAACAAATACCTCGTTCTAACACCATGACTCATTCTGATATCCTCAGGCCAAATTCTACACAAACCACACTCTTTAAAGTTTCACTAGTGCCACTGGGATGTGGTCAATCGCTAACTTTCTGGGACTTCAAATTTCTTCAGTGTTGACTGAAAAAGCTAAAGGAACATTTTGCCCGTGCGAGGTCTCATACAAAATGTGTATTGATGGATATTTTAGGGTTGTCATCTCAGTGACTTCAACCTCAGATTTCATATTAAGTCCAAACTCAGGAGAGCCTGATCCTGTATAAGCTGAGGCAGTTTTGGTCATGTTTAGCAGGTGCAAAATCCTCCAGATCCTCTCCTCTTAAAACATGGGAATTATTAAAACTAACTTGTTTGACATACACCTCAATTATTGACCAGAGGAGCCTGTGGTAAATACATAATGGCTTCCAGTGAGCAGAGGATATCGTGCTGTTCTACCACTGAAAAGAAGCTATCAGCACAGAAACATTTCCTGACAGCAGGCAGAAGCATTTCTACTCTTTGCATATTGTTCACAGATGTGTGAAATTTTTAAAGACCACCCTCTGCTGCAATAAAAGCCCAACGGCTGTTAATTGCTAAGTCAAGTCATAGACAACAGGAGTGAAACACTTGACTCAATTGTTCACAATGCATATACAATGTAAAGTGTCTCTTGACAGCAAAGATTCCATTAGTCGTGAAGACAGTCTGACATTCAGCATTTACAATAAAAGGAAAAAAAAAAAAACACAGTATGTTTCCAATTTGAATATAATAGTGTCCCATAGACATCAGATTGAATCTTTTCCACTGGGTGTGGATGAGTTAAAAAAACACACTTTGTTTAGGTTTGGGCAAGATTTTAAGGAAGCCCTCAATCAGTAACACTATAAACACACCATTCCACTCGAGGTGTCATTAGAAAGGCTGGAAATAAGGCACAAGTGTTGCTCCTACACTCGTCTTTCACAAGATGTGGTTTGAAGTTTGGACGTGTAACCTTCAGCCACATGTCATCTCAACGAGTGGAAAACTACTTTTTAGGGAACCAAAATCTAAACAGGCATTGGCGAAAAAGACGCAGTGGGACAATGAGGGCTTTTTCTGAGCGTTTCATGTTGAAAGACAACACCTCTTTCTCGCACAAAGTGGTAACAAGGTAAATCAATCCTGGCACAAGAACAAATATACATTGCAATTTGCAGCTGCACCCAAACGAACTGAGGCTCCGGGGGTGCAGAGGAGCACGCGTGGAGTCAGAGACACTTTCACTTCAGCACATAAACACCTCAGTGAGTGTTACAATTTGTACCTCCTGCTAATATGTATTTGACTATTTACAGTGTATTTACTTGCTAAGCAACTACAGCTTAACAAGCAGAAAAAAGTGTGTTTACAATAACACATTTGTGAACACAGCTAAATGCTGCCCCCATCTGCCAGTGGTTTACACCTACATGTCAAATAGAACAAACAATCTCTCATGAGTAGAGAAAGCAAAACTTAAAATAGCTTTTTGTTCATTAAGGCAAAACATATTGTATTTACTTCATCAGCTTTAATGTTTGTTTCTGTATTATGTTCACAAATCTACCACTGTTTCTCTGCACAGGTGGTACTACTCTGCCTAAGGGAGAGTTTGACGTCTTCCTGCTTTAGTAGCTTCCATCTGCCTTGGAAACCCCTGGTGCCATCAGGGCCCAAGGGCCGACATAACACTCTCTGCACCACGCAGGGTGCGTTCAGGTGTCCAACTACTTTGTGATTCAATCCACTGGCTGCAAATTTGTGCCTCAGCGTCCAGGGGCTCGGAGAACTCTCTCTGTTGCAGTCTCCAGAGCACCAACTCCTTCTATTGTGCCTCTTATTCAAACCAGGGAAGCTGTTAAAGCTGGTGGGGGTCTGCTCAAAGGTTCTTTGAAAGGAGTTGTTAAAAGTAGTTTGGGGCTGAGAAGTGTCTGGAGTCTCATCAGAAACGCTAACTGGTTCCTCCTGGACTGAATCCTCTGAGGTTCCAAATAGATTTTGTTGGGATGGTGTGTCCTCAGGTTGATTCTCATTTTTTTCTTCTGATGAATCGTCCTTGGTGACGTGGTGTATCGTCTGGAATCCCAAGGGCACCACACACATGCCTTTCCATTTAGACCTCCGCTTTTCTGCTTTTAGGGCATTACAGGCCTTTCAAACCGCCTCCAAACTATTATACCTGACCACTGCACTGCAGATTCTTAGGAAGCTCTTTGCCGGGATGCAGGATCCGGACTGAAGAAATGCTGCCATGAGCGCTGAACTTTTGGAGCATCCTCTCTGAGAGTGAAAGGTGCTCCAGGTCTCCGGCTTGCACCTCGGAAATGTTCCAGATGAGGAGGAGCTTGTTGGTGGATGAACACAGCAGCCGTTTGGGAAGCGGCTTTATCTGCCTCACTTTTGTGCCTTCGTCGCCGACTTCAAGAAGGTCTGAGGAGTCTGCTGCTGAAAGAGTCATGTGCCAGTTTGTGGTCAGGGCCTTTGTCTGTGACACACAGTGACAGCCTCAGCTTTGTTTGCATTTCATTGTACTATTTTTTTAAGTTTGAAAGGTAAACTACACAAAAAGCTTGCCAATAAAGAAATACCTTTTACCTTTTTCAAACAAGTGAGACTCACGTAGCCCTGCTTGTTCTTCTGCACGTCTTTCAGTATGAAGCCATCCTCTGCCAGGTGGCTGTCAAAGAACAACTCCTCCAAATAGGCTTTAATCTTGAAGCAGAGCAACTCAGCTTCATGACCTTCTTCATCTTGGCCAGAATATGATTCATGTCTACAAGGACACATGACTCAGCATCATGATATGCTGCAGTGTAGATAAGTCGTATGTTTTCAAATTTCCTTACCCAGTTGGATTACTCATGCTATCTCCTGGTGGATTGTGATAATAGGCTATTACACCGCACTGTTGGTTGCGTTGTTTCTTAGTAAAGGCAGCTATTAAGGAAAAGCAGCATAGAGTTAACTCTGCTGAATGAAGATCGAAATGCACCTGGGCACAGCTCAAACAACCACACTGAAGTGTGTTGGTTCTGTGGGATCCAAAACAACATTTTGTAAAATGCTACAACCAAAATTCCACAGTACACAATGCTACCTCCACCACTAATAATAACTTGCACTCAAAACAAAGTTACTCTTCTGAACATGTTTAAAAAGGAGAAAACAGTTATGTAAACAAACTATTAGCTTGCACAAACAGAATATTATCACTGCGTAAATTATGGCCCTTTCTGCACAACAGAACACCAATCAGTCTTGCTATCATAACACAAAAGAACAACATTATATACCATTATAGGTGTGAATTTCTGCACTGTGGTTTAGTGCTAAGTGCACAATCAAAAAATAATCAAATTATGATACTGCTGGACTCAACAACATAATTATACAACAGCATTAAATATAAAACAGTAAAATCAGCTTTAAATTCTGTTCATCCTCTTCGGCATGTTAATGTTCTTGCATGTATCATCCCAGTATCAACAAAGCCATCAGTTACATAAGAATATGCACCCTGTTCATGCTTTGGTCAACGTCCATACGTTATAATTATTACACAGAACAAAACCAACCCTTTGGAGGCTTTTCCACAGCTACAGTCATCCCAGCTTTTTTTCCCCCTGTTACTGCGACATGATCAGGCAGTGATTTAACAGACTGTGTGGGCAGCTGGAGATGGTGAAGCTTTACTATTAGCACATATGCCCACATGGACAGATACACACACAGCAGCACTGCTAGTGGCATGAGGCTGGTAAAATAGTAATGAAATGTAAAGCACCTGAAAACTTGGTTCTAAAAAAAGATTAAATATTTGTAAATAAATAAGCAACAAAGTTTGATAAAAATCGTTATTCCATAGTTTAAGACCTCAAAACCTAACAAATCAGGACTGTGTGGGTGTTGCTGGGTTAGATTTTGACTGACACAGGTGTCTCCACGACAACGTAAGTAAATATCCCAACAACTGCCATTAGACTGTGTGTACAAAATTACTCAATTGTTGAGTCATCTTCTAGTTGTTTTGTTCACTTGTGGGAATCTTTGAGGGTATTACGTACTGCAGTATACACACAGAATATAATGTAATAGTGGACACAAAGTGCACTATACAATAATTAGGGTGTGATTTAAGAATGTATGATTTGCCAAATTTGAATGATGGTGATGTCTCCATGGCAACACAAGTAAACAACAAACAAACTGTAATTAAATTCAGATTATTTAACTGTTACATTCTGATTGGTCCATTGGCATGTGACATCAGTTTTCTCCAACAAAGAATTAAAACCTCTCAGAATTGCAAAACACACACGAAAAGACAAATCTCTTATATGAAATAATTAGTGATGACAACTTTGCAAACTCCATCTGCTGAGATGTGTTTGAAAACCATGGATGTATTAGGAGAGCGGGATAATGGATTACAAAATGTGCACAACCGTTTTAACCACTTATTAACATAAATATATGCATTTAACTACAAGTGGAGAGTTTTTATTTAATGTGGTATAGCTGAACGACAATTTACAAAAAGTACATGAAACTGTACAAAACAGGGCTTCTACTTTATATGTGTAATATACACGAAGAAGAGGCCCCTTCCGGTGAGCCGGTTAACACGTCTGTTGGAAAGGTTACAAGCTCAGCATTACACTGGCGGGGACACACTTCCCTTTCACAGACAAATGCGGTATAACACAATGAAATCAAGATTTGAAAAGAAGTATTTTGATGGCTTACCTGTATGTGATGGTGCTAAGACCAAGCTAACATCCCGGAGTAAGATTCAACATTTCCGTTTTGCAACTTCTGAGACAAAATCCATCAACCTGTTTAAAGTCTCGCCGCACAGCGGTCAGAACGAGTTGTTGGGAGTTATGTTAAAATACATTTAAATGGCTGGTACATCTGTTTTCAGTGTGGCGCCACAGATTTCAGTGATACCAGGTGTGTCCATGTTTGGTAAAAGGCTGTGACGTAAGCAGGCCATAAATGAAGAGAGGGACATTAGGTGACGTGGGCGTCCAATCGGACGTAATGAGGTTATGATCATTTTGTCAGAAATAGTTATATATTTAGCAAATATAGTGGTCAGGTAGGACCTCATCACCTATAGTAAGATGCACTTCATGTACAAGTAAGCAGCATATAAACATTTAAGAAATTTTAACATGGTAAAAGGTAGCTACTGTATAAGCAGTTATAAGAGCATTTTAAGTGATTATAAATGTACAGTATTTGTCAGCACTTATAATTTCTCCTATGAAGTCTGTTATTTACTATTTTATTCCATTACAGTTGCGTTTTTATATTAATCTCATCCATTGGGTTTATACAGCCACCTCCACTTATCACTGTCCACAGGAGGCATTAAAGTTGTTGGCAACTACATTAAGAAACACTTAAATCTGCTTGAAACTACAGTACAGCATGCTAGAAACCATTTATTAAATGTTTATATACTGCTGATAAATGTTAACTAGGAGAAATTAAGGTGATGTGTTACCAGAAGCAGATTAAAATATTGGATTTAGCGCCATCCCTGAAAAAAATAAAAATAAAATAATAAAACAAACACATGATCACATATTGCACTGCTCTTAGAAATGCTTTGAAACAAAGGAAACATGATATGAACTGAAACTATCCTGGTCATACATCAGGCAATATTTATAGGCAGAATAACAGTTTCCTGGTGTGAAAGGCAACCCCCCCCCCCAAAAAAAACAAAACAAAAACAAACAAACAATAAAAAAACTTGGATTTATCAGTCAAGCATTTAACTATTTTATAAGAAACAAAACATCATAAGTCAGGTTTTGTACAAAAACCCAATTATTTAACTTTATTAACATCAATTTTTTTTGTTTTCATCAACAGTTTCTTTTTAAATTCCGGTTCATCAACAAATAGAAAACAGACTGTGTGTACAACAGATCGAATCCCTACAGCACTAAGCATTCACAAGGTAAAAATGAACATTTTTGTTTTTTGCCAGTGTTTTCAAGTCCCCTCTCCCTCCTACCGCCACCGTGACAGTTAGGCCTTTCGAAGAAGATGCTCCCCTCCTGTGGTTTGTGTGATGTGTGCTTGAGTGGGGTGATGGCCTGCGCTGAGTGAGGAGCCGGCCATTTTGATGGGGTGGGGTGGGGTGGGGTGGGGGGTTGTGCTGCTTTCCTCATTCAGACGGACAACCAGCTGTCAAAGTTACTATGGTAGTACAGTAGATATAATGGTGTTGCCATAAATACACGCTCTAGGACAGCAGGCTCTGCGGTGTCTCTAGGATTGGCAGATCAGCAGAATTAATCCTTTTAACAATATACTTTTGAAGCCGTGTATATATCTATGTGTTTTTGTAC